CAATCCAGGGGCAGGAGACAGATCATCACCTCAGTGAGAAGAGGGAAGTAAAGGGTGACAGAGCAGGCAGACAGGGAGCTGCAGAGTCTCTACTACGGGRAGCAACAGAGAGGAGGACATCTGGAAAAGCCTCCGTGATAAGGAAGGATGGGATGAGAGCTGCAGGGAATCCCCAAAACTCTGCAGGGAATCCCAGGGAGGGCACCAGCTTAAACCCCAAAGACTGCAAGGAACGTAGGATGCTCATTATAAAATGAGACCAAACTTGAAACAAGGAAAACAAAGAGTTTTTAAAAATCCTTCTACCTGTATGTGCAGTACTCTATGCTTTTTATCACTGTTGCCTTACCAAAAAAAATGAGCAAAAGGACAAGTTCTTCATTTTCTCACATCCTCTACAGTTAGCAGAATTCAAGCTTTGCTACCAAAGGTACACAGTAACTGCAAGGCAGATTAATTCTCCAAGTTATTGGAAACAGAATTCCACAGCAAATATATGTTACTTTTAAGTATGTTCTCTTTTGCTAGTGAAATTACCACTAGCAACGTTAGCCAGAACGCCTCTTCGGCAGGCAAAATGTCATGCAGCAGGTAGGAGATGACACAAACCGCACGTACGAGCTCTTCCCGTTCACAAAAACGCAGCTTTTCAGCAGGGAGAATTGCTGTTTTCTAAACCTCACTTGACACTGATCACGCAGATGTTATGCTGCATGGCACACATCGAGAAGGCTACTGCAAATACGAACTTTATAGTTCAGCTGCATTTCAAGTTCCCCCCGAAGGTGCAAAGCAGAACTGCTTTCTGGCTCCGCTCTTCCTCAGCGGGTGCAGGGGCGGCGCAGGGTCCCGCGGGGCAGGACGAGGGCGGCCCGGCCCGGCCCGGGGGTCCCCGCGGCCCCTCTCGCCGCTGCAGCCCCTCATCCCGGGCAGCTCCCTCCGCAGCACCGAGCGCTTCGGGATGCGCCTCCTTCGCGGTGACTCGCRCGCGCTGTCTCCAAGAGTTGCGGAAGATGAGACCCCAGAGTCGTACCAGCAGCTCCGTAAAGCAAAGCCCAGCGCATGGCCCAGYCCTGTAATCAGCTGATTTAATTAGGGATATGCTGACCTAGTAACCCAAGACATGGGGACTCGGYGCCCAGTTCTGAGAGTGCTGTTCTGTTTAACCCTGGTCAAGACACTTAAATTCAAGTATTTTGATGGCCACGTGCTTAGTCTTGGGTCTATTTCGAGCTGTGCTCGTGAGCCAAGTAATATGCTGGATTCTCTTCAGAGAACAAAGTTGGTTTTGTCTAAGAAGAAGTGACACACACAGCATGAGAAGACCAAGTTCATTCTGGCTATTAAAMCACAAACCTACTTCCACCAGGAAACATGGGATCATCTTCTCGGTTTTCCCAACTGACTTTTTAGGTGCTGAGGAAAATTGTGCAGGGCTCCCTCTCCGACAGGAATCCATGCGGATTGCGGCCATAAAACACACCACAAATGCCCCCTGTGAGCCATGCAAGATGCAGTTAATTTTGACAAACTCAAGTTGCCTCTGAGCACCACAGCTGTAAAAATTCACAGACAAGTGACTCAGTTATCTATTTGGAGATTATTAATAAGCTACACTTGTMTTCTCAAATAATTACAATGATTACAAATAGGAAAACTATAAAAATGTAGTTAAAATTTAAAAAGGCAGTGTCTCTAAGATTACTTAACGTATTGCAGAATTGATTTTTTCCTTGAATTAACACAGGCGGGTGTGCTAGGGCTTTGGGGGAGTGAGGGAAGGGAAGGCAGGAAAAGATTCTTCTCTTCTGTCCACAACTGCAATTCAGAAAGCAAGATAAGACTGGCCTAAGATATAAAGGGCAGTGCTCTGGAAATGTGATCATTATACTCTATAAATACCTTTTACAGTAAAACTAAAAGCTGCATTCAAAGGCTTAAAATAAACACTTCAGGCACCTGGAGTAATTGACATAATTACAGGATTTTTTAAAAATAATTTTTGCACCTTTGGAAAAAGGATCTGGAACATATACTCAGTAGGTACCTTTCCCTCTCTAACACTTTCACAATCAAAACTTCCATGAAACTCCCTTGTATGAAACGGTACAAATAATTAATATTTCCTTTAGGTTTAACGCCTCARAAACCCCACAACAGCTGCAGACACACCGAGCTGCAGCAAAGCACCAGGGAGCGCTCCCAGAGTCCCACYGAGCTCAAGAAAAACCCGAACAAATCCAGACCGGGTACGAAACGCCCAGAGGAYGGGGGTGAGTTTTTCGGAAGCCCCGAGGGCGCCCCGGAGGAGCCCCACGTGGTGCCCCCATCCCGGTGGCAGCCCCTGTACGGGCCCGCTGGCACCGCAGCGCCCAGGCTCTGTCCTCGCTCGGCGCCTGCGCAGYGCTCAGGGGCTGCCAAAACCCTCCTCCCTTCCCTCTCTTCAGCCCAAACCCGGCCAAACCGCCTCCCTCCTGCACACACACACGCAGCACTCGGTGACCTGAATGGTACAAGTGCCACGAAGGTGCGAAAGAGGCTCTCAAAACCTTTTCTACACTGCTCGTCTCCCAAAATATTTAAACTGTGTCACTAAGTTACCAAAACCCACCTCTGCTCAATGCGCACATTGCAATTGCTTTATGGAATGTTTTATTGAGAAAATACAAGGTGAGATCTATTTTTCTTTCTTCTTTCGCTCAAAGTAATGAGCGAGTAACAAGTTCAAAAGTACAGAGTATGACTACATGCAATATCACGCTTTAAAACTGTTTAAATGCTGTTAGGATGGCGTTGCAGCAACTGTAATACTGAGACAACTGTGAGAACATTAGATTTCATCCACACTTTCTTATTAATTTTTTGGTAGAAACGAGATGAAGATTTTGTTTATTTGCTAGTAAACAAAAAACAAAATAGGGATGCATCCATTTGAGGAGGCGGAGAAGGACAGGTAGAAGAGAGCAGAAAAAAAGGCAACTTTAACAACTAGCTAAAAGGTGGCTTTGCAGATCTCAATAACCACACACTCTTTAGGACCCCAAAGAACTCCAATACTCAACAAAATTGTCTGAGGCAGCACTGCTCTCTGCAGCTTGGGGAAGTTTGAGAACATATTTTTATACTTTTTATACATATTTTTATTGTGAATATTTTTCCTGTGACCAAGTGCATTTCCTTTCCAAAGGGCAAGACGTTGAGTCTGTTGGATCCAAACAAAGGCTCTCAAGCACCGGCTGTAATAAAGCTGCACCTATGTGATAATTCCCCTCTTGGAAAGAGACCAGAAAGCTCCACGCTTTGCAGAAACAGATCTTCACCAAGTTGATTATATTTCATCAGAAACATGCATCAGGGTATACACATGTAGCCAAAGGTCAGAAGAGATGCTAAATGCATGAATAATAAAATTCAATTTCATTTCGTTGCTGAAATGGAGTTAATTTTATAAGTGTTCTGGGCTATTATAGTGAAAGAAAAGAGAGACCTGATATTCCAAATACAAAGGCTATTGTTCCCTCTCAGGGAACTATTATGTATCTTGCCTTTTGGGAAAGCATACAGAATAATATTTTCTTATCTTCTTAAATCCTTGTTTCAAAGAGTAGAAAATTCCTACATAAGCCAAGTGTCAGAATACTCTTAATTTCTTGAAATACTCTAACTCCAGACTCCAGGTTTCAGCTGGCTATGGTTATAAACAGTATTTAAATGTGATGGGAAAAATATTGATTTATTTGAAAAAGTGCTGAGAAAAGCCACTGTAATGTCTTAAATTTGCAATTCTAGTATTTCAGAATTTCCTGCTCTAGTTTGAAGGAAACTAAGTCATTGACAAAAACGTATGTTGACGTTTAAACTTAAAGACTGGATTGCCTTTGGTATCATTTTTAATTCTAACTACTTCACCTGCATATTATTGAAGTATTTAACCTTCTGATAATACTTCACTGAAAAGGTTTTTAACACAACTCATAGCAAAATGAAGGTGCGAGTACTTTATACACTGCTTTCCATCTGAAGGCTCCAAGCTGTCAATAACTAACCAGGCCTAACTTTCATCTGAGGAAGGTACGATCTTTTTATTTTATTTTATTTTATTTTATTTTATTTTATTTTATTTTATTTTATTTTATTTTATTTTATTTTATTTTATTTTATTTTATTTTATTTTCCAAGAACTCGAGTAAGAAATAATAAATTTGCCTGGTAAAGTCATGAATAAAACTAAGTTCCCAGTTTCCTGTTCTCTGCTGTAGGGATGAGCACATTCATTCAGCGTTCTGCCTTTTTCTTTCTTTAGTAGGATCATAATAAGGCTTCATTTCATTAAAAATCTGTGTTAACAAAGTCTCTGCCAAAGCAYAGGGGCTGGCTACAGTTACTGGACGCAGACAACAGGCTATGTGGATTAACAAAGGAGGAGATAGCTGGACTCCATCACAAAAGGAAATGAGTGGGAAACATCAGCTTTATTAGGCTATTTCTTATCTTCACAGCCAGCCCWGAATGAAATGTTAAAAGTCTTGAATTTATACCAAATGTACTAAATGCACTCTTGAGGAGAGGGGAAAAGAAAGCCTGGGTATACAAGACTCATGTATAATGCCTTATAAGCTATTAGTTTCTGGAAAAGCAGTGAACAACATTGAGTTTGTTTCCCCACAGGCTCTTCCTCCCTAGCACCAAATCTTCCCCACGGAGCCTCTGGGCAAAACAAAGTCCTGAACCAAGGCAGCAGATAACAAGAGGCAGCAGCCCAAAGCAGCTGTAGAAACATCCAGTGCCTAATTCATAATCCAACCCTACTCAGTTATTAAAATCCAGAGTTCAAACTGCTTTGTCTCAGATCACTGAAGGAAAAAACCTAATGCTACCTAATAACCTATCTAGCAGTTTAAAAATAATCACTAGCACTGCACCACGAGCAAGGGCAAGGCAAGCAACACATCCGGGTAGCTCCTGGTCTCCGGCTGCGGGAGCAGGGCGGGATCACCTACCTTTGGCACGCTGGTAAACGGAGTCGGGCAGGGACCGGCGGGAGTCTGTCACGGCAGGGCGAGCACCAGCACCTGGAACACACAAACAGCAGCTACTTGAGCGCTAGGCTCCGCTTCGAGGCGATCTCGATCTAGGTAATTCGGGTTTCAGAACGTCAGGCTCTCCTAGGAGGCTCTGCAAGGACGGCAAAATTGCCTTGACTGGATCCACCTACTCGGAGTAAAGAGAATCCTTCCTTACGCCGAGCTCTTCTTGCTGAACACACACACACAACACCGGGAGCGCTATTCCTTCATCGGGGGGAGGAAGGGCAGTTGAACAAACGTGGCCACCACCAGGCAAGGCAAGGAAGGGCCCGGGGCAGAGCGAGCCTGGAGGAGGCGCCGGGCCCGGCGCTGCCACGAGCAGCCGCCCCCGCCACAGGGATGCTCTCCCTCTCACATACATATATACACATATATATATATATATATAGTACATTAGAGGACAGGTCAAGGTCAGTGGCAAACGGACAAGACACTTGGATAAATGAAGCGCCACTAAGAGCCTGCGGGAGGGCAGCTGGGCTCCTCCGCTGGCTCAGTGTTTGGTGGCACGTGTTTCTCCTCTGGCAACAACGGGAGGAAATGTTGAATAACGTGAGAAAGCAGAGCCGGGCAGAAGGAAAGCCCAAATGCCATCAAAACCAGGAAGATTAAACAAAAAAGATTTCTATTTATTTCAATAAGAGAAGTTTAATTTCATTTTGCACAGCAAGAAAGGTTTCATTTTCACAGCTCAATTAACGTTCATTAAAAATAACTTGGCACATTAAAGCTGACAGTGCAAAGAGTTACAGGAAAAAAATACACACTAAAATTTCATCTCTTCCGACAGTTTGAGAATAGAACTGAARTAAACCCACAAATGAACAGACCCAGATGCACCAGCACGGCCCGGCTCCCACTTCCCGGGGCTCTGCTGCTGTTGGACTCGTCTCCCGTCACCTCGCTAGGACGCTGCCAGAGGAGGTTTTTGTGCCGGGAGCGCTCCCCCTGGGACACCCTGCACGGCCGTTTCCCCTCCCAACAGCCCAAGTCCTCACAGGCCACCCTGGGAGTAGGGAAGTGACTCAAACTCAGGACGGAAATGCAGGACCTTGGAGAATTCGGTTAAATCCGTTCATTGAAACATTATTCAATTCTAGAAGCTCAAAAATCCTTCTCACGCTGTGGTAAACGGAAGCATCAGTTAAAGCTCGAAACCATCTTCCACTGAGTCTTGCACTGTGTTTTTATTATTATTATATTTTAAACAGGAATCAGAACTCTAGAAGGCTGCATTTCATAGCAAAGACATGACAGGGCAAGAAAACCCCAGGTACTACAGTCACATCCCACAGTTTCTGTGCCTACCAGCAGGACCATGCACCAGGTGCATTCGCAGTATCTCAGTTTCAACAACAATGCATTTATGACCACAACAGTGACAGTTAATACGTGCAATATGGCCAAGTTCCTTACAAACAAACCATCAGAGGCTCTAACACGGTAACATTATGAGCTTCAGAACCCAGGAACAGGAGACTCACAGAATCCCAGAATGGTTGAGGTTGGAAGGGACCTCTAGAGACCATCTAGTCCAACCCCCCTGCACACGCAGGGTCACCTAGAGCATGTGGGCACAGGGCTGCATCCTAGCGGGTTGGGAAGACCTCCAGAGACGGAGACTCCACAACCTCCCTGGGCAGCCTGTGCCAGGGCTCTGGCACCCTCAATGTTAAGAAGTTTTTCCTTATGTTTCTGCAGAACTTTTGGTGCTTCAGTTAAACACAGAGTACAGGAATCAGGAACACCTAGGAAAGGGGCATTACGAACGTGCAGGGTAGAAAGACACATCTGTCCTCTTCCAAACTGCAAGATCTTCAGGACAAAAAGTGCTATCAAAGTCTCAGAATCAAAAACGTCTTTGAATAGTCAAATATTTTAAAAATAGGAGTTTGAACTTGTGCCTGAACACAAGCACTAAGAAAAAAAACATAAATAAACACCAAATATAATAAGCAGCTTATATGTGTAGGACTTGTTACAATAATCTTTAAAAAAATATAACTTTAAGAYATTAGTGCTTTTGTAATGATAATGGCAAGGGAAACACTGTAAGTTATTAACTACCCTTCTTTCCAATGAACAGCTCTAAAATGTGGCCGATTTTATCTACCCCCATGGCTATAATCCAGATTCAATCTTACAATAATCACTGCAATGACAATTCTCTCCGGCTCTCCTCCCAATCCAAGACTATCTCCAATTTAAATTCTGACATGAAATAGCTAAAATAATCTCTCTGATACTTCCTATGCTAATGCACAATGACCTGCCCATAAACCTGCCCTGTTTGCAAGGCAAAGGAGAAGCCAGGCGGGCGCCTCTGCGAGCCACACTGCAATCCCACCCCCGGCACGCTGCTTGTGGAGAGCAAAGGAACAGCATCGCATCAACACGGCCCCTCCTGCCGAGATGATCCTGCTGGCAACCTGCCAGTTCATTACACCATCCAGCCCCACTTCTTCTACATTAAATATTGCCTTCCTTTGTAATTGACTGGAATACACTGGAGCAAYTGCAGGTAACCACTCTGGGCTATTAGAGCATTCCATTAAGGCTGCTCCATTAGGCAGATATTTCAAATGAAGTTATCTCTAAATATGCTGCGTTCAAAATATTGCAAGTGCGCGGGCACTCGGGCAAGCACAATCCCGACCCACRGAGCTGCACGCCGGCAGCAACCACTCAGAACAGCACGAAACCTCCACTTGGGTACAGGGAAAGGATTAGTTAAGACACTAAAACACGCTGAATATTTTAATCCCCTATTTATATATCCTCCTTCTAAAACTAAGAAGATGGTAAAGCTAAGTAAGGCAAATATTCCTTAAATCAAGTAAGTCAATACATTCACTGAATACTAAATYGGAAAACCAAGCACAGAGCACAAACAGTGAGTAAACAAAAGCAAAGCTTCATTCACAAGGTACTTAAGGTTTCAAAATAATTTTTAAAAAGCCGCACTGCATTACAATCTGTGCAGCATTTTGAAAACAGAAAATGTAGRTGCAGCCATACTATGTACTCCCTATAATTAACCTTTTCCTCCTTAATGCTGTGGCTCCTTCCCAGCAAGGAAGCAAATGAAAAGGAGGGGTGGAAGGAAGGGGAAGGAACCACATTCCCTACCTCGCATGCCAAAAGAGATCAGCAGAGGCTTTAAATGCCGGCCAGGAGCAGGTCCGCGCTCCAGCTAGGAAAATGAGACYGACTCTTGGGGCAAAGGCAAAATTCTGTGTTTTAAGCGGGGCTTTTTTAGGGCTCCAGTTTGGAGTTACGACCAAAGACTGTAAGGATGAGCATCGGAAATTCTGGTCTCTTCTTAGCAGAGCCCAGGTACACGCGCAGACATTTGCTCTGCACAGCTCTGGAGGACAAGGACGGCAGCAGAGCTCCTGCCCACGGTGTTTGCACCAGAGAGGAAGCGGGGAGGTATTTAGGTATCACTAGTTGAGCGAGCAGCTTTTTTTTATAGATGTATTTTTCCGGGGGAGTTTAAAGACAAGAATACAGCCAGAGAAGAGAGCCGCTGGGTCACACTTGGTTCACACGCTATCAAGTGACTGCACCGACCTGCGTTTTCCTTTGACTTYAGCAAATGTTCTCTGTAGGCTCTGGTATCTACATGATACCTGGTGGTGGTCGAAAGGGCAAGAGAGAGACTTTGTACATTTGCTTCCATGGCCTTCATACCTCTACATCACTAGTTTCTAATTCCGTTACTGTGGACTGCAGSTCTTTGGAAGATGGCCACAGCAGCAGTCCTCTTTACAGTACTGTGTGCATGTACAYTACTAACAAAATGCACAGCTCCACTGGAGAAAGGCATACCCACATGCCTTGTGAAAAGCTGGAAATCACAACTTCAGATGAATTAATATTGCATCTGTCTCAGCAATTCAGCCCCTGACAGATTATCAGAGAAAAAAGCAGCAGACTCCTTTTTACTACTCTGAGTTTAGGAGTCGTATGTCTAAAACAAGCAAATTAACACCACATTTGCACAATCAGAGATATTCTTTGGACTGAGATGTAACAGAAAGGGGACTGTAAGGGGACTACAGAAGGATTTCACATCATTATTAGGGTAGGCTAAGGCACGCTCAGCCCACTGGCAATTCTGAGTTAATTATAGCCCTTATTAGAGCCCCTCTTCCACTAAATTATGCATTCTTCCTTAGCCCAAAGAAAACCTGCCCTATTTCCGTATGTATACATTCAAGAAAGCAGCTGTCTGTGCTCTAACAGCACCGTCTGAATTTCAAACAACAGAGAGACTGCGGTCTCAATGCTAAAACATATAGATAAAGTGCTGTCAAAAGGGGACAGGTCAGTGGTTATGTTGGAAACGGCCAGGCACACTAAGGGAAAGAGAAGAGGAAACGGACAGGCACACTAAGGGAAAGAGAAGAAATGGACAGGGCAGATCCCGACTGATGCCTTTGAGGAAAACTGTGAGAAATCCCTCGATAACTTTCCATCGGCGAAGGAGAAACCTGACGCGTCCTCTTGCTGGTGCCGCCTCTGAGCCAGGTGCCGCTCGTGCCRGGCAGGAGCCGCGCTCCCCTTGGCGCTGCAGGAACACGGTGCCGCCGCTCCGCGTCTCCTTGAGGAGCAGGCAAAGCTCTGCTCTACTCTGCCCGAGCTGCCAATGCTCCAAAAACAAAACCACTGCAGAGAGAGCAGAGGCCCAAGTCCCTGCACTTAAGRAATCTAGAGTGCCCCCAGCTGAAGGAGCGGCGACTGGAAGAAATCTCTCTCGGAGCTGCCGGGGCAGGAGCAGCGGCGCAGGCAATGCCACCCTGCCTACGCACGGGCCTGGCAGTAAGGCAAACCCCAAGGATGTTAGCGCAGACACGAAACTGGAGCTCATTAATAAAATTTCTTGCTTTCTCCTCCCTCAAACAGCACAAAAGCCCTTATTTTAAATGGGAATACCCTCAATTACTATYTGGTGTTATGAGTCCAG